CATTGGCATTTTCAGGTGCAACACTGTCTGTGTGTGATGGGTTTGTGGGAGTCGCAGCCCTGCCTTGTCCCTGACTTCTCCCACATTCGCAGCAGATGGCCCTCACCATCATGTCTGATAGAGGAATTCATCTGGCATTCTGACCAAGGCCACCCCTTCTCTGCAACATTGACCTATTTGTATTCTCTCCACAGCAGATGAGGCACCCAGCCCTCATCACTCTGGGCATCTGGGATACGGTTATGGGTGTCATAGCCAGCCTTGCCTGGCAAGAGGAGAAAGCAGTCTTCAGCAACTACACACACACAAACACACACCGAGTCCTTGTCAGCCGTCTTAGGTGAAAGGAACATCAGTCTACAGTGCTCTGTATCATAAACGGCCATGACACACAAGACTAGTCAAGGTTGCAGATTGCAAGTGCAATCAATGATGCACTGTACACTTTCCTCAGGAGCTCCAGTATAACTAGACTTGACATACCCACTTTGGATACCTACTTCCCCAAGAGCTAGGACATCCATTCATTCATCTTCATTAACCACTTTATCCTAGTAAGGTTCGAGGTGGATCAGGAGCCTATCCCTTGAACACTGGATGTGAGTTGGGAATACACCCTGGATTAGATACCAGTCCAACACAAGGCACCATGCACACACACACAGTACATTCACACACTTGTTCACAGCTAGGCGCAAAGTAATGTAGCCAATCCAGAATGTTTCTGGGAGGTGCGAGTAAGCCAGAGAACCAAAAACAACATGGACATGCAGAGAACATCTACCTAAACTCCATATAGGCAGTAACCCAAGTTTAAGATTAAACCAGGAACCCTGGTGCTGTTAGGAAGCAACACTACCGTCTATGCCACCATGCCAAAGCTGGACATAATAATGCCAATCAACTTTCAGTCAAATACTTTAAGATTCTGGTGATTCTCCAATCATGGGTAATGCCTCTGAGATATCAACCTATATGATTGAATGATGCTATGATAAGCTGCATCATGTCCCTTAGAAATGCAACTAGCTACACCTTTATTAAAGAAAGAACAATTTCAGGTAGAGTAATGGTGCAGGCCTCCAGACATTGTATGATAAAGAGGTGACAGGTTGCTGCTGCTGCCTCCAGCATTATAAAGACAGGGTAATGTGAACAAGACCGAGGTGCTTAGGAGGTTTATTTAATAGACCCCCATTTTTGGCACCCCTTCACTTCAGCTCTTACACATATCCTTACTCTCCCTCTTTCTTTCTTCTCTCTGTGTCTTTTACACACATGCACACACACACTCACACACATAATGTTCTGTGCTGTGTTTCGGGACATGGAGGAATGCAGAGCTGGGCAATCAACATCATCAGCTCAGCACGTGGAGGCAGTTGGGCCAATAATGCACCTCTAATTGAATAACGGATCCACAGCACATCTCCCAGGGGGCTGCTCCAGGCACAGCATGGCCTGAGAGACAGATGGCAGAGATCCCCTTTCCACAACTTTTTCACCCAGGTTACTGGTTTAGGTAGGCAGAGGCTTACCATATATATATATCAGCACTTCAACAATCTTCACTGTAAGTCCTCATTCACAACTCCATACATTTTTAAAAATGTATGGAGTTGTGTATACTAATAACCTCTTTTGTGTGATTTTGAAATAAATAAATAAAATAAAATCTTGAATAAGCTGATGTTCCATTGATTTGTACACGTTTCTAGATGCCCAGTTGTGAGGAAGCAGTCTCACTGCCCTATATTTATTATTGTCCATATGATTATTATTGCACCTAGTGGTCAAAATGGAAACTGCAACAATAGCTAATAGTAAAATATATTGCAAAGCCTGGGTTGAGGGAAAGAGGGATTATGAAATGGATTTTGTCTGCACATCAGAAATTTCAGACCGTGTTTCCCACACAAAGTCTAAGAAAAAGAAGAAAATATTCAGAATTTTGGGGTGAACTTCAGGTCTTTTGTGACGTTTTTGAGATGTAGTTCATTTGGAAATTTTACTCAAACCTGGCAAATCATACCTGCTGTATCAAACACAGCTGAACAAAGGCGCATTTAAACCTGTTCAGGACGAGCTGCGAGACTGGGTGCTTGGTGGCTGTATGTTGTGGATGTTATGAACTATTATGGGGTTAATTCACTATATATTAACCTATAGCATAAATCACATGCGATGGACTATCAATTTAATGTTGTTTGAAGTTCGTTATGTCATTATGAGTGCTGTCACACCCCACCAAAATCCATGGTCATGAGCTGCTGCTCTCTCTCACACAGATACTTGGAATTGATGTTCGGAAGCATTATTTTTAGAGAGAGAGAGAGAGAGAGAGAGAGAGAGAGAGAGAGAGAGAGAACACTCTTCTCTAGGGAGGGATAAGTCTTATTAAGACCCCTCCTTTGGTTCTGTGCTTCTGTGCTCTGCCACCCATCAGTTCACAGCAGGGGGAGGATGAGTTCCATTTCCTCTCTCTGCAGTGCCATCCAGCTGTCCCAAAAAACACACTCTTATCCCAGTGGGGCAGGAATACCACCCAGTAGTAGACTTTAATGTCTATGATTGCAACTTTTAACTTCATTCGTCGGATCATAAATAGTTTTGTTCAATAACAGTTCCTGGTTTATTTTCTGTGTTCTCCCTTTTCAATAATTATTTGATAACCCTCATATTTTCAGTGGAATAAATGAAAATAAAAAGAAAGAAACGTGGGTTATTCAGCTTGCTCCTTTGGGGAATTTGAACTTGGTAGTTAGGATTCTACCTTATTTAACTACCACAGCATGGCTCTGTCAGCAGCAGGAGACTACATGGAACCCTTCAGAGCACTACACTCATGTTAGAACTAATATTTAGGTATATCTCTTGTCAGGAGAAAAAGTTGTGGTTGCAATAACACACTGGTTTACTCTTCATAGACGGTTGCACTTCATTTATCCAGCAGAGCGCTTAAATTAGCGAGTCTTTCCCAATTAGTCTACTCACAACTGTGGTGCACAGCCAGTCAAAGGGCTCATTACCCCGGTGCATCAGTCCTCCATATGCAGCCCACTTCCAGATGTACTCAGCATTTCGCTGCAAATGTATGGCTGTAGACAAACTTAACGAAGAACACAAAGTTGAAAGAGCTTCTGTGGTTTGCGCAGGATAATTTGAGATCGTTTTGGAGGCTGGCTCACACAGTTCTTTCAGACATGGTAAATGTCTAACCTCAAGCTCTTCACAACATAGCTGATTCTATCGTGATGACACATCCTTATTAGAAATAACTATTGAGAACAGCTGGCACAAGAAATGCAAACTGTGCTTGCTACAAAGTTTGAACTGACTAATACGTCCAGAAAGTGGTAGACAAATCCAAACTTTACAATTAAAGTCCTCTTCAATAAAAATGCTGCCAGTAAGTTCAGCAAAGCATTTTAGCGACTTAGCATATCCATTTACATACTAATGTAAGTATTGCTGCTATGGTACTGGTCTATGCATTACAGTCGCTTAATGTAAGCTAAAAGACCCTCGACACTCCTCACTGCCCTTCACGTAGAGCACTTGATGTCCTTTGCGGTTAATAGTCTCGGGTACACCCACGCAGAGTGCCACTGACTGAGTGGCACTGATATCTCAGGACTCAGGACCACAGCGAACGGAGAGTAGTAGAGCGTCATGGAGTATCATCCAGGCCAGCAGGTGGAGTTGAATGAGACTATGCACGACTTATTATTCCTTTATTAAGTGCATCCTTCTTAAAGTGGAAGCCAATCCATCCATCCATTTTCTGTACCGCTTATCCTACACAGGGTCATGGGGAGCCTGAAGCCTATCCCAGGGGACTCCCACCAGGCAGGGGACACCCTGGTCGTGGTGCCAACCCATCGCAGGGCACACTCAGGTGAATGATTGTTATCAGTACATAGATGTAAATGGCGATTTCTCTGTCCATACTGAGGTAAAGTTTGGTGTTCCGCAAGGTTCTGTTTTAGGCCCACTGCTTTTTACTTTATCCATCCATCTTGATGCCCGACTTCTGCTTGTTCTCTTCAGTTGGAAGTTATCTGCTACTGCTGAGGATGGCCCCACGTAGTGCAGCCTAGAGGTCACTGGCATAGCTGAGGATGGTACCACTTAAAAGCCATAAGATGGCTTTGGACCTCAATTCATGTGAACAGTTATGCTATGATGGCCGGGACTACAATTGCTACTACAGCCTCAGCACTGCAATTACCACAAACAGTTTTGCATTCAAGTTCAACAAAACAGACTTAAAAACTGTAATGAATTTTCTTGGTTACACAACCGCATTATTCGACCACGTAGTATTAGCAAATTTATTAAAGAGACTTATTTATAATTATGCTATCCGTTGTTATCCAGATGAGGACGGGTTCCCTCCTGAGTCTGGTTCCTCTCAAGGTTTCTTCCTCATATCATCTCACGGAGTTTTTCCTCACCAATGTCACCTCTGGCTTGCTCATTAGGGACAAATTCATAAATGTAAAATTTATATTCTGAATATATATATATATATATATATACTTTTTTTTTTTTTTTTTCTGTAAAGCTGCTTTGGGATAATGTCCATTGTTAAAAATGCCATACAAGTAAATCTGAATTGAATCACACAAGCACATTCACATTCACACACTACTGACAATTTGGAAATGCCAATCAGCTGGCAACGCATGTCTTTGGACTGGGGGAGTAAACTGAAGTACCCTGAAGAAACCTGCGAAGCACAGGGAATACATGCAAACTCCATACACACAGGACATAGGAGGGAATTGAACCTGCAACCCTGGAGGTGCGAGGCAAACATGGTGTAATCGTCTAAAACATCTCTGATTATCAGCAGAGACCTTTGCAAGTTTCTGTAGATTCAATGGCATTTGGCAGGTGCACTTATTATCCAGAGTGACTCACAGTTATCTCACTTTTTTGTACAACTGAGCAGTAGAGGGTTAAGGGCCTTGCTCAATGGCCCAGAAATGGCAACTTGACAGTGCTGGGATTTGTAACCATAACCTTCTGATCAGTAGTCCAACATCCTAACCACTGAGCTACCACTTCCCATGTTGAACAACTGTTCTGTGACAGCTTTACTGATATGGCAAAATCTTATTAACCTAAGGTTGTGTGACGGAATTTGACTGATCAGAGATTGCCCACAATATTTACATGGCCATTTCTACTCGGATTATCCATAAACCCGAAAACCAGAATGACAGTCTCTGTGACAGCAATGAACCGGCTTTAGAGATGGTTTGCTCTGTAACTCATTACCAAGGCCATCCTCTACTCCAGCAGCTCCAGGCCAGCCTTTGCCCCAGAGCAAAGCAAACACCTTTCCCTTCAGTCCTTGGTAACCCACACCGTAGCTGGGAACCCTGCCGGAGCTACATTACACTAACTTCGCTCTGTGCAAACAAAAGCTGCCCTGTCCACTCTAAGCCCCAGATGTTTCGCATTGATCCCCCTGTGGTTTTGGCAAAATGGAATGGCCATGATTGTTGCCCTCTCAGTTTTTTTGTCACGGACTGAATTAGAAAACAAAGGAGAAGGAAAAGTCTGCGGGTGTGTTTGGCTCTCCTATGCATGTCTACTGGGTGCAGTGTCGCATTTCAGCCAGAAGCAAAGCTGGCCTGCCCACTTTATCTCTTTCTCTCTCTCTATCCTCATCTCGCTGGTTAATAATGCAGAGTGTCTCTCAGTCTAATGTTCTGCTGCAGTCGAGTGTTGGATACACCCATGGAGAAGAGCTTAGCTGTCCGCCTGTAAGGTTCAGAGACTCAGGTTGCTCTGGCTGCTAGCCTACACTGAGCCCCATGCAACCACTCAAGCTCATTTAACACACAGAGAGAGAGAGAGAGAGAGAGAGAGAGAGAGAGAGAGAGAGAGAGGAGAGAAACATTGGTGTTGGAGTGTGAGGACACACCCATGTTCAGTAAATGGTTGCTAATCTAGATAATACAGCACTGTGCTAGAATACTTGGTCTGTGTTTCAAAGCACACAAAGCTCCTGGATTGTCTTGAGGTAGACATGGTGTCAGAGATATTGCTGTGGAATTTTACTGGCATTTGTTTTACTCTGGGCATTGGTGAAGCAAAGCAAGCACACGCCCTTTTGCCCATACTGTGCAAGTTAATAAGTCTCTTTCCCAGCACTGAAATAAACAGTTGAAGCGGAACTATGTGGAGCAGTGGTACGCTCCCCAGCAGCAGGGTGCAGATTTATAGTCATGCAATGTATGCCGGAGTCCACATAAAGCTTGATGCTGAATTGAAGTCATGTTTGCATAACCCTGCATGACATCATTCTATATAAGGCTCTCAGCTTAGCAAACACCTTCACCAATATATAGACTACCTATGAAAGCAGGTCCATTAAAACACACACACACACACACACACACACAGGCAAACCCTGTCATTAATACGCTTACGTATATAAAATAGTGACTCGTCGGCACGCCCGACCAACAGCCTAGTTGTACGTGCGAATGTTCACTGATAAGTTGCTAGGAGAAGCTAGTGTTTCCTCTCCCTCTGTGTGTCAGTGTGATTTTCTTTATCTGTCAGTGTGCAGCTTGCGCATGGAATCTGCCCTGAGTGTACTGCTGCTCCAGCGTGGGAGGGGAGTGGGCGAAGGTGCACGGCATCTGCCACAGTTCACAGCCTGAGGAGAAACAGCAACACATCACATTCAGTCTCTCTTCCATGGCAGGCTCTGCACTGTTAAGCAGCAGAGATAGCAGCTCAATGCCATGTAGGCTAGGTTTCAATGAATCATATTTTGGCAAGGAGTTTTCTCCTCACAGCTCTTTCTGCCTTGAATACATTCAGAAAGGATAAAACGAGGCGGAAAATGCATCATAAAGGGTTCTTGGCAACTATCAGGTTAAAATGAAAAACTTTATGTATGCACACAATTAATTATGGCTAGTCGTTTTTATTTATTCATTTAACCAAATTACTTTCTTCATTGGTTATTGCCCGCTTTAATAAATGCTATATCATTGCTATTAAATTACCAATGTTTATAATTAGTATCTCTATATGTCGTTAACCTTATTAGTCCCTAATTCTTAAAATGCCATTGAACCATATGTACAATTGGCCACGTTGGCCAATTATTGTAGTCATTACATAAAGAAGTTTGGTAGGCAGCTGTTTGATGTAGGACATTCTCTATTCCAATATACACTGTTGTTTTTCTCTCATGTTGGCTTTAGTATTGGGCCTTTACTGCCAGAATAACTCTCCATAAACTCTCTATTTTTTCTGAGGCACAAGATCCTGCAGGACTCACAAAGATAGATAGGTCCTTTCCCCTATCATATGACATATGCTTTCACATCTTTGCCTATTTGACTGATTATTGTTAAAATCAAGGGGATATTTCAACATTTTGGCAGCATTTTGTTTAGAATCGGCTCATCGGTGCTATTCAATCTGCATGCTTGGACAGTCAAGCAAGATGGATCTAAAATAAATACCACAGGGAATTTTTCCCAAAGTCATTCATGGAAAGTCTTCTCTTTTTCTTAAGGTCTGGCAGTTCAACAACAAGTTTCACTACTTCACTTTTAATCTTCATTTTGAAATCTAGATCGGAGATGCCATTTCCCCACGTGCACCGCTCCACTTTCATGCTGATGCATAGTCTGCATTTGCATACTGGAACATGATTGGCTGTAATGTTTTATGACATAATAACACTTGCTATTGTTCAACGCAAACAGATTTTCCAGTGAGGTTTTTTAGCAGTTGCAGTTTTTGCACTTTCTCACTGTTCACTTCAATTATTTCTCCCTCAAATGTTCCATTTTCATTTCTTAATACGTCTTATCCTTAAATTACATCTTGTTTGGTTTCCATAAATTTTCCCCAGAACTCTTCCTGCTGCAGTCAGGTTTAACACCAAACACAGTGTGGAGTGTGTGTGCTATTTTTCAAACAGGACCTACTCCCCTTGGTCTGCAGGTTCAGTGGATGCTAATGGAGGAGGAAGAGCTACATTTCTGAAAAGCCCTGCTAGCTTTGCTTTAAGGAATTCTGCAGACTGTAAGAGATTGTTTGGTAAAGTACCTGGAAAGATCGTCCCGGTTGAATGTGTGCCAATTCGAGTCTTTAAGGACTTATGATTTAAATTATTTGTACAGTCGCACACAAAATGTTTTATTTTGTCTTCTCCAGCTGGGCTAAACATTGATCATAATGCTGTAAAGAATATATCGACTCACTGAAAAAGACATTTCCTTCTGGAAATCAGAAATACAGACAGCTTCACCCGTGTACCTGTAAGGCTATAAGCAAACATCCCAGAGCAGTCGTGATAGAGCCGTAGGGTGGAGGAGTGTAAATGCCAATTACTGTACATACATTGTTTTACTGTCATTTTTAATTGTAAGTTTTAAACCAATGCTTGTGAAATTTAATTTCATTGCTATTTCTAAAATACTTTTATTCCATAGGTCATTTCATCAAAATAAAAACTGATTTTACTCACTCCGAGAGAGATCACTGTGGGATGACTGAAATTTTTACAGTAAGCTGTAAATACGTACAAAATGATAGATGTGTAAAAGAAGATTCAAGACTTTACACATTATTTGTCCCACATCCATTGGCACACAACATAAGAAAAGAACAGGCATGAGCTCATATTTATTGGAGTAGATTTATGTCCATCCCAGAACACCCCACACTGTGTTTCACAGATGCATATTCCCTTGAGTCTTTGGACAGATGTTTTCCGTTTACAAATCATTGCCTAAGGTGATATAATGAAGGTCCCCAATATTTTCACACATAATGAAATAATTAATTGTACTACAAGATGTTTTGGTGAACGTTTGACATTTGGACAAGTACATTTACATGTACATTTATTCATTTAGCGGACGCTTTTATCCAAACAGACTTACAAATGAGGAAATGCAAGCAAAGTATGGGTATGGGTATGGGTATGGGTATGGGTATGGGTATGGGTATGGGTATGGGTATGGGCATGGGTATGGGCATGGGTATGGGTATGGGCATGGGTATGGAAAATGGGCTGCATCGTGATTTTACAGCTGTAACACTCTGAAGTAGATGGTGGGGACTGTCCAGTATTGTACTACAATAAATGTATTATTCATTTATGAACTATTTACTACAATATCAAGTTTACTACTACTACATGTGAAAGAAAATGTACTTTTCATTTACAGTGTGACATATTTCCACGTGAAATGGCATATTTGGGCAGGCAGGATGTGTCACTGAGATGTTAGCCTGCAATAAATCGTTGAGGATGATTTACTCATTAAAGGAGGGGCAGGCAGCCAAAATTTTCATACTGCAAGCAGATGCAGATTGAGTCCTGGGAGTAAAGGCCATATGTATTTGAGCTTGTACATCCAGCTAGGAATGAAGGTAACAAAACTAAATATTGAGGGCAAAGGTTCTGCTCACCACCATGAGCACCTCAGTGCACTGTTACTGATATATTTTGATTCCTGCTCACAACTGTTACAGTGACATGGTGAAAAGTCAGAGCCCATTTAGAGGCAGGACGAAGTCATTGAGATTTGATGGAAGATTTCAGATACGATTACTTATCTGTATTAATTACTTAAGATGCACATGCATCTGGCCAAGGTCTTGAGCTAACAAGCTAAGAAAGTCAGATTTGGTTTCAGGGTTTCTTTAAAGAGAATCATTTAGGCACTTTACTCTGCAACCGGCGAACTGACGCTCCTACTAAGTTCAAGCAGAGTTAAACTCAAAGTTTCCTCATATCATCTCAGGGAGTTTTTTCCTCACCACCGTCACCACCGTCACGCTCAATAGGAATAAATTCACACACTTAAAAACTCTATCTTGTGTTTATACGTTTCTGTAAAGCTGCTTTGAGACCGTGTCCGTTGTTAAAAGCGCTATACGAATAAAATTGAATTGAATTGAATTGAAAGCATGGTAGTGGAGCAACTTAGCAATTGGTCCATCCTGAAGAGTTTCAGCACCAATGCTGACTGAGTCACCTTTGAACTGGGCCCGGTGTTGCCAGTTTTATATAAATTCAAC